ATTAATGACATGTTCAACTTTGAGACCTTTGGCAACAGCATGATCTGCCTGTTCCAAATTACCACCTCGGCTGGCTGGGATGGATTGCTGGCACCTATTCTCAACAGTGCGCCACCCGACTGTGACCCAAAAAAGGTTCATCCTGGAAGTTCAGTTGAAGGAGACTGCGGTAGCCCATCTGTTGGGATATTCTATTTTGTCAGTTACATCATCATATCCTTTCTGGTTGTGGTGAACATGTACATTGCCGTCATCCTGGAGAACTTCAGTGTTGCTACTGAAGAAAGTACCGAGCCTCTGAGTGAGGATGACTTTGAGATGTTCTATGAGGTTTGGGAGAAGTTTGATCCTGATGCAACTCAGTTTATAGAATATAGCAAACTCTCTGATTTTGCAGCTGCCCTGGATCCTCCTCTTCTCATAGCAAAACCAAACAAAGTTCAGCTCATTGCCATGGATCTGCCCATGGTCAGTGGTGACAGGATCCACTGCCTTGACATCTTATTTGCTTTTACAAAGCGTGTTTTGGGTGAGAGTGGAGAGATGGATTCTCTTCGTTCACAGATGGAAGAAAGGTTCATGTCTGCAAATCCTTCTAAAGTGTCCTATGAACCCATCACAACTACACTTAAACGAAAACAAGAGGATGTGTCTGCTATTGTCATTCAGCGTGCTTACAGACGTTACCGCTTACGGCAAAATGTCAAAAATATATCAAGTATATACATAAAAGATGGAGACAGAGATGATGATTTGCCCAATAAAGAAAATATGGTGTTTGATAACGTTAATGAGAACTCAAGTCTAGAAAAAACAGATGCAACTTCTTCCACCATCTCTCCTCCTTCATATGATAGCGTAACAAAGCCAGACAAGGAGAAATGCGAAAAAGACAGAACAGAAAAGGAAGACAAAGGGAAAGATGGCAAGGAAAGAAAAAAGTAGAGCTTCATTTTTGATATATTGTTTACACCCTATGAAAATGATTTATCTGTGTTAATAAGACTCTGGAGGAGGTCTATGCCAAAACTGTTTTTATCAAAATATTCTCAAAGGCAGTGCACTCACTAGCTCTGATTCTCTAAGATAGGTGGGCAGCTTTAGCAGATGGCTATTTTTGCACTGATGATTCTGTAAGAATTGTAAGAGTAACTCTGTAGGGATTATTGATTACAGCAAACAAAGGTGATTTAATTTTTGTTTATTTTTAATAGGAAATCATGTAAAAAGTTTTTACATCTGCCTTGTCATCTTTTCACAGGACTGTAATTATTTCTGTTTCCCGTGTAAATACAAAGACCCAGATACAAACACACACACCCACAACACACATATAGGAAAATATCTATCATTGGATATCAATAAAAGTATTTTGCCTTGGCTTCGCAATGAAATGCTTGATAGAATTAGTGGACATTAGTAATGAATGTTTAGTTAAAACATATTGTTATTAGGTAGCTTGACTTTTTTATTCATGTACAGAGGTTATTCTATATTTTGAGGTGCTTAAATTCATTCTACATTGCACCAGAATCAATTTATATGTGCCTGTTAAAATATCATGGGATTAAAAACATGTAGGCTATTCACTTCAACAAATACTTTTTATTCCTCTTGACTCACATACTAACCAGGATAAGACTTACCTTTAGAGTATTGATTCATAGTCTGACCTCTTTATATCCCTCTTTATTCAGACAATAACCACAGAACTTGAGAAATCATTTTAAGTACATATCACATTCCTCAAAAGAAAAAAATGGAGATAATTGAGAAGAAGCAATTGACAAAAGCTCTATTTACTATTATGTATACCATCTAACACTGGACTGTGCTTCCCTAAAGTGCTGATAATGGCCTAACTCATAATCTCTTTTGTTATATTTTCCTGCTTTCTCATGCAGTATTGTTTAGTCATCGTTTAGCTATAAGCAAAGTTGATGTTTCCCTTCAATGAAATGCTTGCTGATACACAGTTAGTCATTTGGCCAGGGTACATGTTTGAGAAGATGATTTGAGAACAGTATTTATTGCATCATTTGTATAACATTCTGTGTTTGACAAGCTTTCAAGTTGTAATATATGGCAGGTTTTCAACACACATTTAAGTTTAGTATGAATGAAAGAGCATTCAAATAGGGATTCTTGCCAATTTTCTTTCTTACCACTAACTTACTTCCCTAAATTGTGGAAGTAATCCTTTTGGATCTCTGTTCTTTCATCTATAAAATGATGAGGATGTCACTTTCTCCTTAAAATTCCATAGTTTGAAGTATATTTTGCACCAATCAGTAAAGTAGCCTGGGCTTATAATTTATCAAGCACATATTCATTTTGCATTAGCCGTCGTCATCCTACCAAGGATTGGACATCTAATTTATTTTTAAGAAAAATCTCATTAATAGTAATTTGAAAAGAAGTGGCCACGATGGGTTTTTCATGAGTTTATTCCAGAAATATGAGATCTTTCTTCTATAAAGTTATTCATGCACAGGCAAAATTGAGCTATACAAGTAGAAAGTATTACAGATTTATTTAAAAGATTTTTTGAGAGTTTTTGAAGTAAATATATAAAACATATTTCACTAATTTGTTTTTTAA